GCAGGAAGTAAGGAGTGACAAGGAACCAGTGACTCTGGGTTGCTAGAGCGAAGCGGGAGGACCCCTTTGGTTTGAGCATCCTGGGTACTTCCTAGGAACTTCAACATGCAAACTGTCAGGCCCCATCCCAGCTCCACTGAATCTGAAACGTTGGGGTGAGACCTGGGGTCCTGTGTGTCCGCGAGCCCTCCTGGTAGGTAAGCCGGTAGCATGAGGAAACCCCAGACTCGCCACTCGCAGCTGTCTCATACCTACCATGTTGTTCCCACCACATTATGATTTTCTTCAACCCATCCCTCATCCACCTTGGGGTCGGAGGTTTAGAAATGGCGCAGCAGCAGAGAGAGGGGCCACCGACGGGCTCCTGGAAGTCTGAGCCACCCTCAGTCTTTTGTCAGGGAGCAGATGGAAATGGGTCTCACCGTCTCCCAGATTCCCTCCAGGGGTTAAGGCAGCAATCCTCGGAAGAAACGGACATTGAAAGATGTAAAGCCATTTGGCCTCATGGCCACATCGTGCAGAGGTCTCAGTTTTCTGGCACACTAGGTGGCAGATGGAGAAAATGGGTTTGGTTCCTGGGTTTTGGGGGTGGTTATCGATTTCCAGCCCCCAAATCCACTGAAAGTAGAATTCAAGGGCCAGGAAAGTTAAAGCGCGAATAATTGAATTCTGTCCCTTGGAGAGTGTACCTGTTGAGGGGGGAGGGGTGTTGGGGTGTGGCCGGGGGGGGGGAGCTACAATGTCAGTGTCAATCCTGAGGTTTCATAAAGACAGTTGCAAAAGTAACCGAAGTTCCCCAAGGATCACAGAGGGTTGGCCCCTGGGTGGGGATGGGGAACTTCCTGTTCTTTGGAAACTTAGTATTCTTTAATGCTTCCTCGCTGACTCAGTGTGCCCCAGCTGACTGGGCTATAAGGACAATTGTCCTTAGGACTTAATACTCTCATTGACCGAGCACTTACCAAGCCCGGCACTATCCATTCTGCATGGTTTAGCTCTTTTCATTCTCGTAGGTCTTGGAGTAGGTATCATTTTTTTTTTATCCTCATAGTAGAGATGGATTTAAGGATATTGAAGCACAGAGACATTAAGTAATTATCCTAAGGACAAACAGCTGCCCAGTGGAGGGGCTGGGCTTAGAACCCTGGCATTGTGGGAACGGAGCAACCCCCATGATGCAGTTCTGCCTCTTCAGCCTAGCTTGTGTCAGCAGCACAGGACAGGAAAAGAGGGACAGAAGGGAGGAGGACGTGGTGAGAAACACAAGGCCCTCAGTCAATCCTGGAGGCAGATTCACTCCCCCATGCTGCCTCCGCCAACCTTTGCCACACCCGTCCTCTGGACTGGAGTTTGACACCCACAGCCTGTTCATCAGTCAGGTGGCAATGACACATGCAAACCAGCATCCTGACATAGGTGTCAAAGTCCAACCCTCCAGCACTGTGTTACATGACCCGACCCGACGGAGACCAGAGCTCAGGAAGACACATGACAGGGCTGCCCTGGCCCGAGGAGTTTGGCCCAGGCCCTGCCTACCTGTGTGCTCAGTAGGAAATGAACTCCGAGCAGGACATCCTGGCTGGAGGGCGGGCCTACTGCTCCATTACAGCCATTTCAGCAGAGGAGGCTAGGTTGACAGGTGTGCCAGGTTCTCCCCCACTTGTCCACCCATCCCTAGTAGGCGGGCAGAGGTTTCTGAGCCTTTCTTCCTGGGCACTTTCATGGGGCGGGAGGACCGCCTTTTGGTTTTCTCTGGGGGAAGGAAGTTAAAAGCCAACAGGCCTCTCCCTCGGCAATTACAGGCACTGCCAAGGTTCCCAGGAGATCGCCAGTTCACCCCACCTGACAAGTGACCTCTCCTGACAAGTGGCCAATTGACTGTCAAACATCAATGCCACTGAGTAAAAGCAAATTGCCTCTTTTTAAGGAATGCACAGTCTTTCCAGGTGGGATCTCCTTTCCTCTGGAGATGCAGCAATGAGGAGAGCAAGTGAGGACTCTCATACCCATTTTACAGGAGGGAGAGATTGGATCACCCCTTCACAGAGCGGCTGACTCAGTGTCTGACTCTGCAAACGTGGAGGTGGGTGCAGGCCCCACGATGACCGCTGATGCTTTCTGAAACAGGCACGCCTACCGTGGGTCAACTCCACTGCTGGGCCATGAATGCTCAGACTTATAAACTCCTGGCCCCTGAACAGTGTGTGTTTTGTTTCCTTGTTCAAAGCCAATATTAAGCTTAAATATATGTTGGGGGAAAAAAATCATGTTGTTCCCTATTGGACAGTCTATTTAAAAACCTGGCAAGGATACAAAGAGCCCTGGTTACCTGGACCAGGAACTGAAGAAAGGCTTCTTGGAGCTGGGACATTCATTTTCTCCTCCTCTCAGACATCAGTGCTTCTGGTTCTCAGGCCTTTGGACTTAGACTTGAATTTCAACTTGCCGCATTGGCTCCCCTGGTTCCTCAGCCTCTGGGTTTGGACTAGAATTCCACCACTGGCTTCCTGGGCTTCCTCCTTGCAGACGACAGATTGTGTGACTTCTCAGCCTCTGTAATCGCATGAGCCAGTCCCTCATAATATAGCTCTTTCTATATATTTATATATAGCCTTCTGCTCCTGTCTCTCCGGAGAAGTCTGACTAATACGGTGCTGAATAAGGAAAAGAGAGAGTCACTTGCCAGAGGAAGCCTGAGTTAGACTTTGAGGAAAGGACTGGATTTAGCAAAATGGAGAGGAAGGGGGAGAACAGGCAGAAGGTGTGACATGAGCAGAGAATCAGGGGTTAGGATATTCGCGACCTATGGGAGACTGAGCAGACAGGTGAGATTGGATTAATGTCCATCAGGGTGGAAAGAAATAAGGGAAGAAGGAGTTGGCCGGACACTGATGTCAAAATGGCCAACACACTTCTCCGCCATGATTGTCTGCAATGATAAGGTGATAAGGTAGTAACGATAATGGCAAAATCATACCCAGCACTTAATTGAGGCATCTATCAAAGGTCTCAAAGCATGTCAGCTTGCTGCATTATTCATATTCTCGATGGTTCTGTGGGGCAGGTTGGGGATGCTCTCCCTCATCGCTATAGGTAGGGAGCCGAAGATAGAGGCCGTGACAGTGTCTTAATTCTACATCCCGAGAGTGAGCCAGCTGGCGCTCTGGGTCCGAAATGCAGTCGCTGCATTTCAGCTGCCTCGTCTAGGGCCAATCCCTGTGGGTGTGTGTCCCAGTTCCCATTCTGTGTATGTCTGTAGAGGTTTATCTCTTCCAGGCAACTGATTGGATTAAAAGCCACTTCTCCGCCTTGTCCCTTGGAAAGGCGGCCTGGTTATACCTCCTCTTTCAGTGTCACACAGATATGTCTCACTGATGCCTGCATCGAAGCCTTCGTGTCCAAAGGAACAGAGCCACGTGGCACGTGTCTTATAGCGAATCTTCAGGCTCCTGCAGGTTCACTCTATGTCTGCTGGAGTCCACTGCCTTTGAATTCCATCCATTTCTCCCTCTTTGTGCCACCCCACCTTCCCAATAAGACATGATACATAACCCAGGCACTGATTACCAAATCTAGAGAAGCTAACCAGATGGTCCGCAAACCCCCTCAACCTGCAGTTGTCACCTTTTGTTCTCCATGGCTTACCATAGCAGACTGAATCTCTTTCCCCAAGCTCCTTAGAGACCATTTTACTCACCCCAAGGGCAGATGCCAGGGTCCGTTATGGTTTCTCGGAGTTGCCCAGAGCTCAGTTGAATAGTAGCCCGCCCTTTGTCCTCTTTAAGGTCACCTGAGCTTCCTAAGAATTTCCCGGTCATATTGTACCTCTTGCCTTTGCATGGCCAGTCACCATTCCTCCCATGGATTGAATGCAGTCCTCTATTGGGTCAGGCTCAATGAGGTTAAATCAACAAGATGGCAATGTCGCCATCAGCCATGGCTTGTACTTTTCTCCTAGCTGTCCCTACATCACATTGGCCAGACTTAATGCCAAAAGGGCAGCATCATGTATCAGAAAGAGCACAGACTCTGGAGTCCGCAGACCTGGGTTTCTGGGTCCGCTGTGCCTGCAGGCTTGTCACCATGGGCCCAGCCTTTAGATCCACTCTCCGAGTCTCAGTACACTGCTTTCATCTTTCTCCGCAGTCCTAGACACAAAGCACTTGCTCAGTCAGTGCCTGTTGACTTGATTTGACTGAACCTTCCTGTAGAACATTGTATCAAATTAGAAGCTCCTCCTTCTTCTAAGCTGTAGCTAGGTCAAGGTCATCAGCGAGAAAAACAGACACGGGCCATAGCAATGGTTTCTGCAGTAGCTGATCCCTAGATGATGCTTCCTTTCCTCTTCCAGCTCCCCCAGGACTTCCTCCTACCTGGTACAAGGAACTTACAGGCTGGTCCGGTATTGGAGGGTGGGTCACACCCTCGGGGAAGCTCCTGGAGATTACCTCAGAGCCCTGCCCCTCCCTTATGACACCTACAAAAGTCAAGCGAGTGGTTCCTAAGGGACGTGGGACCAACTGGTATTTATATGGGGGAACAGTGGTGGAAAAGCAGCGTGCATGGCCTGTAACACTGCAGGGATGATAGCATGGCTCACTCTCCCAATGCTCCCTACATGTGTTCTAAGATCCAGACATACTGAAGCACCTGCAATTTACTGAAAGTCCTTTTTTATTTTTGCCTCTAGTCTTTTTATATATGCTCTGGTTCTGTCTTCCTAGAATGCCTTTCCCGAGCCTGACTTCCTGCCTGCTTTTCCCTCTGAGCTCAGCTCGGTGTCAATTACCCGCCTCGTGTAAGGCTTATTCCTTGTCACCATCCCAGACTGTGCCCTAATAATCTTCCCCTACCCTCATACGGCACATTGCCGTATGACATTGTCATTGCTCATTTACGTGGCTGCTCCCAGGATGATGATGACAATGACAGCGTGGATGCCATCTATGGAGTGCTTTCTAGGTTCCAGGGACTGTATTTCGCCTCATTAATGATCACACCGCCCTTGTGAAGTAAGAGATTATTATTCCCACTTCAGAGATGTGGAAAATGAAGCTTAGAAAGGCTTTGTCCACATCTATACCTTTGTAAGAGGCAGGTCAGGATTAGCACACATGGCCGGCTTTCACCAGCGCATGGTGCAGCTGTGCTCCACTTGAAGGCAGGGACCCCGCCTTTTATCTCTGTGTCCTTGGCATCTAACACGAAGCAGCTGCTGATAGGAGCTCAGTAATACATTTGATAAGCCAGTGAATGCATGGCAATGAATTGCCTTTGCAGTCAGCCTTAACTCAGTCCCGAGCAGCCCCATATATATTTTCTGGCCCTGGATACCCCTTGAGAAGATCATCTGAAGTCAAAGGATGCTTCAAGGACAGCAGCAAGAGAATGTTCTGTAACTTGACTAGGAACATATGAGACCTGATGGGACTGGGCTGAGTTACTGGGGTAGAGAACTATATAAGACAGGTCAAGCATCCAAAGATGACATGGATGTAGATAAATTCTATGTATTCCCAGGAACTCCCACAAAGTGTTAACAGCGTGTAACAGTCTGCTGAGGCAGGGCCTTGGGCAAATAGCTCATCCTTGTTTGCACAGCAAAGTGGTCCCCAGTACGAGCTATATTTCCCAGCCAGGCAGACTGCTTGGGAAACAGATCTAGGACCAGAACAAGTTTGAAGCAATTTCTTTGTCACTTTCAGTGGAAAGAATAAACCTGAGGAGAAGAGGCTTAGAAAGGCTTTGTTCATATTTACACAGTTAGTTAAGAGTCAGGGTCAGCATCAGAACACCGGTCTGTCTGACTCTGAGCCTGACTTCCGCCCCTGTATCAGCCAGCCACCCCTGCTGAACCCATCCTTGGCCACCAACTGATTAGTGACAGAGTCCGGACTAGAATCTGCCAAGCTCTCCTTGCCTCTCGAACAATGGTTCTCCTCTGTAGAGGGCAGACCTCAAGAAACCAGTTATCTTCCATAAGCTTCCTTGTCAAGCAGTCCAATAAGACATTGTTTCTTCTTGTTCCTCCAGAGAAATTCCTCCTGTAAAATAAATAAATAAATAAATGAACAAACAAATACACAAACAAACAAATAAAGAAATAAACCTTCGTTGCTTTTTCCTGGAATTTGAATTTCTCATCCTGGCTGGATCCCAAGCCTCCTTTTTAGCACACACTTCCATCAAAATTAAGTGCAAATAGGTCCTAACACAACTCACCAAAATGAAATGTTCCCTGCTTGAGCAAAAGAGGTGATACACCAACGAAAACTGCCTAATTCTTCTCGGGCAGAAACTATACCCAATCTCAGAGCATCCCTGCTGTCACAGTGCTTGTCGTCTCTCTCTAGTCTCTATAGGTAAGCCACACCCCTGGGGCTCTGAGGCTTTCGATAAATTACATGTTTTCAGGTCAGAGCTGGGCCTAAGTGTATTTGTAACCATGGTCTTGGTTAGCAAGTAAACCTTTCTTGGTATTCTAATCTATTGTCCCCTGAGTTTACTATTGTACCTCTCTTAGATTTTCCGTGTTGAATTATAATGATCTTACATCTTGGCTCTAGGATTATAGGCTCACATACAACCCTAAGCTTGGAAATTGCTTAGGTGAATCTGAAAGTGGACCTCTATAGAAGAAGATGACAAAAATCATTCATTCGACATTTATTGGATATATGCTGCCTGACAAGCAGAGTGCGTAAAGGACTAACGATATAGATAAGACGTTTCTCTACCCCGAACAGGGTTATGGTCTGCTGGAGACTTTAATGGAATTCATACTTTTTGGTTTAGTGAAATTCCTATTTTAAAAGTCATTTGGTGGTTACCAGGGGTTAGGGGTGGGGGAGCTAGGGATATGTTGTTGAAGGGTATAGGCTTGAAACCAGTAGATAAATACGTCCTGGAGATGTAATGCAACATAGTGATTATCGACAACAATACCATATTATAAACATCAAAATTGCTAAGAGACTAGATCTTAATTGTTCCCACCACGGAAAAAAAAAAAAGAAAAGAAAAGAAAAAAGAAATGTGACACGATAGACGTGTTAGCTAGCTAAGGCCGTGGTCATATTACAATACATAAATGTATCAAGTCAACACATTGTACATCAGAAACTTACACAATATAATACGTTGACTATATTTCAATTTAAAAAAGTCAATTGGTTTCATTTCAAATCAAAATCCACCCAACCTGCCGGGTTGCCTTTGTGGAGGACCAAATTACTGCGGTGGATTAATGCATTTATTTTAATAAAACAAGTTCACCTGAAACTTCTGTTAACATGGGGAAGATATAAGGATATATGTGAGCAGATGGGAAAGAACCAGTAGAGATGGAGGCTGAAGACACAAAAGATGAGTTCTAATGGATGGAAACTTGCAATTGATGGGATAGAATTTCCCAGGGAACAGAAAGGGCTCTGATTACAAATACAGCTGGAAAAGTGAACTTGAGACATAAGAGGAGGAAGAAAATGGTCCCTAGGTTTGACAATTAGGAAATAATTTTGTTTGAAATCGCTTTAAAACTTAGATTTCACAGAGGAAGTCAGTTGTTAACAAATATTCAGTTATTTCTCATATGAGTTACACACCCTGTCAAGCACATGCAGCAACAGCATGGCTTATCATTTCTAATTATTTTCTACAAGCTGATTATAAAGAAGACAATCAATTTGTCTGTCAGTATTCTATCATGTGAAATATTCACATTGCTCCTTTCACCTGAGGAAGTCTATGCTTCAGGCTGTCTCTGGGCAGGTGGGGCACATGGATGGCAATTCTTTTGATTTCAAAGATCAGAAACCCAACTTGAGCTAGCTTAGGGAAAAGAGGGTTGTGTGTCACACAGCCAGACCCCGGGAGGGACAGGGATGTAGCAGCCTTGGGAAGTGGGAACTGGGGCCTTGAATATCAGCAGGCCCCTCTATCCCTTATTTCTGCTTCCCTCTGTGGCTGACTTCGTTCATTCCTACTCCAGGCCACAAGCAGCCCCTGGGTTCCAGAAGCATCCCTTCTCTACAAGAAAGAAAGAAAGAAAGGAGAGAGAGAGAGAGAGAGAGAGAGAGAGAGAGAGAGAGAGAGAGAGAGAGAAAGAAAGAAAGGAAAGAAAGAGAGAAGGAGAGAAGGAGAGAAG